TTTTCAAAATTTCAAGATCTTTTATGCTCCCGCAGTTTTCATGGAATTAGAACGAAATAATTACTATAGTTTTATGATTCCCACTGAAGTTCTCATGATTTTTCTGAAGTTCATGAAACTTCCATTATATTATCGACACTAATTTAAAACTTCTTCAATACTCTAGACTTTCCTGGTGTTATTAAAACTACCTAGACAGCCCTGAATTGATCAGTATATTTTAAGAACCTGAAATTAATTGATTTGCGTTGAAGTTTCTTTAATTTTTCTTAAGTATTTTAACCATTAAAAACACTCACTTATTTTCCCTGAACTATGCCTATTTGAAGTTCTTTAAATTTCTTTAATAATTTTGTTTTTATATACACATTCAAAATTCCCTGACGTTTATGGATCAACCAGTGAATTCTTGGAATACCCCATAATTGCACGGAATTCCTTGTAAGTCGCTGCAAATTTGCTTAAGTTAATGGGATTATTCTGAAGCTATCTGATCGTCCTCGAAGTACTCGAAACTTCGCTGAAACTGAATGAAACTATCTAAATTCTAAGTTCTCTGGAGTTTCTTGAAGATATTTGTCGCTGCTTGCTAAAAGTTCTCACATTTTTTTAGATTAATGGAACTTCGTTGATATTCTCTAATCAACTTAGCTAAATTTTCGCATTTTTTTTAAATCCCTTGATATCGCGCTGATATAACAGCCTTAAAATACTCTAACGTTTTCCGGATGTTCATATATTTTTTATCGCGTTCCAGAAGTTCTATCAGAGCTTTACTTCAGGAACCTCCTTAAGGTTTCTACAATTTTCTTGAAATTATTTGAACTGCCCTTTGATTTTCTGATCTGTTTTGATGTTCTCGAAGCTTTTAGGGAAGCACTCAAATATATTGAAGATAAATTTCCCTTAAATTCATTGGACTTCTCCCAAGTAACAATTCTAGTTTTATGAGGGTTCTGTAGACCATGATTGAGACTTGTAGAATGCTATAAAACCGCGATAAAACCTGCTATGTTATTTGGGCTGTGAAGTTCCTGAAATATTTCTGAAGTTTTCATAAATTATGTGATGGTCTCTGTACATCCCTGAAATTCTCGGAACATCTTAAGGTGATACTCTAAGGAAGCCTTAGCCTGAAACTTCAATGGCACAAATGTCACGTTTCACTAAACATACAAATTTGAAATTGCTACTCTCTGTTTGTAGTAGCACAGCAAACAAGGAGTAGCAATTTCAAATTTGTATGTTTTGTGGAAGCTAACATTTGTGCCTTTGACGTTTCACGCTAAGGCTTCCTTAGAGTATCACCTTAAGGGTTCTCAATTTTTCTAAATTTACGATTATAGATATTTAAACTGCTCCAAAAATTCTGAACTAAAGTCATGGTAACTGTTCTTAAGATCTGAAATTCCCCAAAGATCTCTAGATCTAGCTTTTCAGAGGCGCTTAGAAATTCTATGAGCTTCATAAAAGTTCCTGAAAATTTTCGGATGTTAAAAGAACCGATTTGATTTCGAAAAATGAATAGACGTAGATAGAGAAAGACGATTAAACGTCACAAGGCAAAGAATGATCAATCTTAAAATAAATTCACGCTAAAAAAGTTGAATATTGTGACTGATTACAAGAAAAAGTGACTTTAGTGACTTTACCTTAAAAAAAGAGACTTTTTAGTAAAAATAAATAAAACAGCAAAAAAGGGTTATCTTTCATTTAATTCCACTTAATTAATTTTGGTATCCATGACAGATACGTATTTCGGCTACAATGTGCAGTCTTCATCAGTGTCATTCCCCCTAAGGAACTTATCAAAATCTAACCCCCTTAAGTACTCATCTCCTAGGTAAAAAGTCAAGATCACAGGTAGTACATTAAACTACAATGTGTTGAATCGGAACTTTTTAGTGACTGGCTACCAGCCCTGGAAAATGTTCTGAATAACAAAATGGACTACCTTTTCTTACTAAAATAACACTGTCAAAAATACACGACAAAATGGTTTTGAAGACGCCAAAATAAACCAACACTAAAGTTAGCTTAAGAAACGCCAAAATACCCAAAAGCTTATCACAATGGCTTTAATAAAAAAAAAAGAAACGGAAAGATCCATGAAGTCTAAATAAAGCTATTCAATGTTTAACCCAATATTTTCCTCACACGTCCGTAAAGTGAAAGGCCTTCCCGAAAGAAAAAAATAATAACCATGCAATTACCATAAAATAAAATACAGTTACAACGCAATCTATTGTCAACAATCTATCTTATTTTAGGTGTATTGTGCAAGAAATTTTAACATATTGTTATTACAATTATTACATCTACAATACGTCCCAAATTGTAAGGATTTTCAACAATAGAACAACATTACAATTAACGGTAAATGGCTCAAGTTTGTTCGAAAAAAAAGTGATTTTTCGTATGGTTAAGATACATAACAGCCCCCTTGTTCTATTGTAGATTTCCCTATTTACCATAGATTTTATTGTGGAAATAATATTTTCTATGGTTATTTTATTGTTTTAGAGTATATGATTTATTGAGAATACAATAAACTCTATTGTATGGTTGCAATACATTTTATTGCACCTCTATGGTTCTTTTTTTACGGGTTGAACTGAAATTTAGTTTTAGCTAAAAGTCCACTGTTCAAGCTTAAGTATCTACAGCTGTAAAAGTTGTGCATTATCTAAATATCAAGAAAAATCAGCTGCGCATAGATGCATTTCAAATGCTTTTAACAACTCGTATGGCATGTTAAATGCATTCCATTTTAGCGCTATGTGAAAAGCAAACATGTTTCAGTTATCGAACGTGAAGTGGAAATAAATGCTTCGCTTCAATGCCTATAGATATGAAATGTTTTTAGGCAATCATTATACTTTGCGTTAAATAAATTGTTTGTTGAATTGAAAAATAGGGTAAATGAGCCACTTGTGCCACTAGTGCTTCAGTTTTTGGCCCTAGTGTCTAACTCAGATTTGAAATAAATTATCATGGCTTTATTTGCGTAGATATATGACAAAATCTATGTTCTAACTCTGCATGGATATCCACACTTAGAAAACATAACCGGTAATTTTTACCGAACTTTCAACAGCTCAACCGTTCGGAAAATCAAGCATTTTAATTCCTTAGTTTTACTTTCTGCTTCTTATTCGCATTTCAAGCTTATTCCTTAGTGTATATAAGCTTATTGCGTGCTCTCAACTTAGTGTTCTAAATGCACTTCCACAGTTATTAATTGAGAGCTTTCGATGCCAATACCAATGCTTGAATTTGTATATTGTGTGGCAAGCACAATGATACTTTATGTCCAGGGAAGTCGAGAAAATTTCCAACCCGCAAGATTCCCTCGACCGGACCGGGAATCACACCCGCCGCCACCGGCTTGGTAATACCATGCCTTTACTCACTAGGCTATGAGGCCCTAGCTTCAAAACTAGGGAAAATTCAACGCAATGGCAAGATTCGATTATTCAAACAAGACAGACAGTGTTTTGAAATTAAAATTTAGTGAAATAGCTTTTGAAATGAGGGTCAAAGTTTCACCGAACGTTCAGCTGTTGAAAGTTCGGTAAAAAATTACCGAAGTCGGTAATAATTTCTTAGTGTTCTAATATGGTAAAAAAATATAAATATTAAAAATTCAGATAGAGCCCATTAGGGAACGTCTTGGACCAAAAACTGGTTCATTTACTCTAAGCCCAAATAAAAACAACCATAGTAAAACTGATAATCCAAGGAAAATTACAAGTTTTATTGAAATTTTAACGCATTCTACAAGTCTTAATCATGGTCTAAAGAACTCTTATAAAACAAAAATTTTTACATGGGCAATGACGTATTCGGGGTATCATCCATACCAGTTGTGGAATAGTTCTACCATTTGGGTTATTGTTTGATTCTGGTAATTGTTTATTAGAGAAAGAAGCATTTAAGTCTTCAAGTGAGCACCTTTTTTATGTATAAAAAAATGCCGCGCCGTTTTAGTAAATGTTCTAAACAACCTGATGCAATATTAATAACTAACAATTAAAATGGTGATAAAAGAAAATTTACATTGCTTTCAGAAGTTTTCCACAATTTTAGTGTACTTTCCGAGTAAAGTCGGATATCAAAATAATATAAAAATGAGATCAAATTATGTTTTTGAAATCATATTGATAACATTTTTGAAATACCATTTTTTAATTTCAGTTGAATTCATATTTTGATATTTCTAAAAAATATATAATTTAAAACAAAATTTGATATTTTATGAAAAGAGCATCCACATTTATCACTGAAATCTTATTTTTATTTTATTTTTCTTACGAGTCAATCTGCATGCTTGCTGTTTTCTTTATGAATATCAGAAAGACAATTTTGATTCTTATTAATATTAATCTACCTGCAAATTAAATTTACAAATCGATATAAGATAGATATCGATAGAACTGATTGAAATATAGGTTTATTTTTAATTTAAATAAATGATAACTTATTGCAAACAATTTTCAATTTTGAATCTTGATATCAACCAATAGATATCAAAACATTCAGATTTCTAAGTTTGATATCATGATATCAAAATAATAACTTCTTACCATAGTTATAACAACATATTGATTACTTATTTTGTTTATTATCAACGAAATTACTGATATCAAAACGCACACATACATTTGTTATCAAGAAAACATGATTTGTTATCTTTTTAATACCCTTCATATACCATTCAGATCTCATTTTTATTATGATTACTGTTAACTCGACCACATACTCGACAAATATGTTATCACGACCGCTAATATCAAAATATCAAATTTAGTTTTCATTTTGTTTTCATTCTCTGCTCGGGTTGCCGCCGAATGAGAGCATTAAGCCAACTTTTTGAAAACTGTCAGCAGAAATAAATTTATTATAATCCTACCAACCTCCCACAACTAATCTTTCCCCAATTGCCTCTGTCACCAAGCACAAAGATTTCATTTTTATTTTATTTTCCAATAAAAACTCACCCTTTCTTCCTCGCGGATCATCTCGGCGATGCCGGGTTTGATTTCCATATCGTCCGGGTGGTTGCTGCCACCGGCGCTACCGCCCGCACCGGACAGGCCGGACAGCGACGACAGGCCCGCCATCTGCTCGCTGAGCGCCGGTGGGATGGGGAACTGCGGCATCTGCTGGTTCGACGTCGAAGACGGTTGCGCTATCGAGGACGGAGTCGGCGGAATTGGCGAGGGCGCTTCCAGCTGATCGGGAGTGCTGTCCGCTGGGCTGCCCACGCTGCTTCGTTCACCAGAGGGCCAACGCCGTTTGCGGTTGTTTTTCGGGGTGGAAGCCTGAACGGTTTCGAGGGCGGCGCTGAGAGGCCACTCGCCTGCGGCTGCAGCCGCTGCCGCTGCAGCAGCAGCATTCAGTTCACGGGACATATCCCGTGAAAGATCCCGCGGGAAGTCGCGAATGGAGATTTGGGTGGATTCCCGCTCCCGGGATGTTCGCGGTTTCTTCGATTGCATGTGTCCCGGTGAGCTGTTGTTATTGTTGTTATTAAGCGAGGGGTCCATCGAAATGAGACGGCCCTCGTTTTTGATGATTCCTCGTGACAATAAGCTGCTGCTGCTGCTGTTGTTCGAGCCCGTTTCATCGGCCGCATTTACCGACGGCTCTGCGTGCTCGACTTGGTTCAGTTCCTGATCGCCATTTACGTCGGCTAGGCCGCGAATTTTCAACATTTCAGCGATTTTTAGCAGCGGTCCGATTTGATCCTGGCTGACGTTGATCTCGCCCTTGTACATAAAGTCGACGATGGCCTTCAGTTCGGGCCATTTGACGTCCCGCATGATGATGATGGGATGTTGACACGGGTTTTCAAAGAAAAGGGTCTGGAAGTAGGGACTGCAGGCGGATAGAACCATCTTGTGCGCCTTGATGGATTGGCCATCGCAGGCGAGGGTCACATCAACGAAGGATTCGTTTTGAAGCAGCTGATCGAACACGCTGGTCAGATTGGTTTGGTAGTTGTTCCAGCGGAGACAGAACTGCTGATTCGGAGTCATCGTTGGCTTCAGCAAGGGCTCTGATTTGTCCCGCTTGAAACCGGTGGCACCGGATAGGGTCGCGGTGCTGGATGGAACCGATGCCGGACGGCGATCGGAGCTGTCCATGATGGGGGACGAATGCATCGGAGGCGGTGTGTCCGATGGCATTGCTTTAGCGTTCAATTGTCTTCAAGAATGTTTTTATTTCTATGATTTAGTTTTCAATTGAGAATGTCTATTTACGGAAATTTATTCACAAGTTCTTCCTATCACGCGGGTTCATCTCGTCGTCGTCGTTGTTGCACACTGGTATCACACTTTCCGGGTTTGATGGGATTTGTCGTTCTCTAATCAAAACAAGCACCAGGATCACACTAACACATGCAAGCTCACCGGTGTGGAGGATTTCGTCTACTTCCTGTTTGCCTACGTAGCACTCGGGTTTTTATCAGGTGACTCGCACGAGGTTCTTCTCTAACACAGACACCCGTCTGTTATGGATCCTCTTCTGGTTGGAGACTTTTGTTCACGATATGCTTATTTTCGCACCATGTGCCTTAACCGATCCGAGGTGACGATTTTGGTGCACAAATGTCATCAGTTGTTCTTATGTTTTTTGCACTACGTGTCTAGTCTCGCATACACTTGCCGCGTCACTCGGTGAGCACTCGTGTCGAAGCAATTTCGGCTTCTCCCTCGACGATCTTCCGGTGCTGGCTATTTACCTACCATTTACCATTCAAACGCTCGAGCAATAATGTTACACAGTTTAGCTCCATATTCATGTATTTCTTTTATTTTTGTTTTATACGAAAACGCCAAAAAACATTGCGCACTTCCCAAGTTTTTTGGTCACTTAATCGTATTTTAATGATTCTTTCCTTCTTTTTGCACCTCCTCGCTCGCTGTTTCTCTAGCTTAGGCTTAGCCAGACTGTTTCCCGAGGTACACCGCTCTTCACTCACATTTTATTTTCATATTTCCTAACACAGTTTAATTGCTCTTTCTCATTTTTGGTAATTATAATTACCAAAATTTTCATTACTTCCACTAAAAGGTTTCGGCGCTTCTCTTCTTCTTGTTCTCCTCCAGTGCTCTTCTCAGGGCTCCCTCTTGGGTCGGAAAACAAAAAAAAAAAACGTGAAAATATTTATACTTCGCCTTGAAGTTCTTCCCTCTATTCGGGCTAAGCGCTCTTCACCATGCTGTACGGGCTCACCCTCGCGCTTCCCTCGCCACAGCACTCGCGATGTATTTACTTTTATTACGCAAACAATAAAAATTATAAATCCATCCAAACAATAGTAATTTTTTATTGCTTGATGTTTTCCCCCGCGCGCTCGCTCTCTCTCTCTGCTTCTTCGGTTTCTTCTCACTCACTAGACCCGTCTTGTTTGCACTAAGCCCTCACAGGTTCTATTACTCGGTACGAAATCCCGGCTTCAGCGATGTTCTCTTCCAACTCGCAAAACTTGTAATTATTTATAATAATCATTTAGGCAGAGACACACAGCCACACTGCAATTCGCAATTACAACAACCCACTCTCCTCGGTGTTGTTACAGTACTGTGTTGTTGTTTTGTGTATTTGCCCTATTGAGTCCGCGGGTATGTTGTATGTACACCTACTATCACCAACTGTTCTTCTTCGCTGTGCTTCTTCCAACAACTACCCGACGCAACGACATTTGAAATCGCACTGACGATGACCGCACACGTTCCAGCAGCACAACGGCACAGCCACACAGCAGAGCACTCTCGACAACTTGCCCTGTCTATGGAATGGAACGCGCACCTTGCCGCAAAAAATGTGAACCCCTCGGTCGGTTTGCTCTCTCTCTCTCAGTACATAACCCTAAAGCGCTCGCACGAGAACTCGCTCTCTCCCATAATCAACATACTCTCTCCACATAGCACAAGCAAAACAACGTGCTTCCATCCACCGTTCGCTCCGTATGTACGCTCTTGCTCCCAAATCGGCTGTTTGTTTTTATAAACCCACTGTGCCTTCTTCTATGTACCTACACCACACCGCCGGCTTGCACCAACACACTATCCCACACGCCGTACAGACAATGACAGCTCTCATCTTCGTCGTCCACCACTGACGATGACGGCTCGATGACGATGACGATCCCCCACTTGCATCGCTGGGCTCTCCGGGTGACGGAAATTATTGTCTCTCTCTGGCACACTCGCTTCGCACCGTGAGAGAGCACGAAGTTTGTCTGCACTTTTTCGCAATAAAAGCATGCACGGAATGGAAGGGAGGGTAAGGATGATAAAACTATTAGCTTCCCTCGTTTGTTCGCTCGGTTCGGCTTGGGGTGTGAGTGAGCGAGAAGAAAAGAATTATGGACGGCCCCACCAGGCTGTGCGGGGATCCGCACTTAGACAGCACGCGCGTGGTGGGTGGGTGGTGCTGGTGGTGGGAATCCGAGGCAGCACAATGAGATAGTGAGAGAGAGGCGGTGCTTTTCACGTTGATTTCGCGTAGGTACGTGCGAGTGTGAAAAGAGCGATCTTTTGCTTTTGTGTCGATTCTGGGTTTATATTTTTTTTATTATGTTCGGGGTTCGTTTTTTATTTAACACTCCTTTTTTAAATATTTATATACAAATGCCCGTTGCATGCCGAGGCGGAGGCGAAGATTCTGCCGCGTGTGCAATGAGAAAATCATGCGTGTGCTGAAGAGTGATGCACCCGAGTTGGTACGGGGTGTGGAAAGAAGAAAAATAACCGTCATGATGCGTCAAAATGATAAGAGATGTGCATAGTTGATAGGAAGACATCAATTATGGAGAAGAATTGGTTGTTGTTTGCGTTTGTACTTAAGCATTCAATGTTATTGTTCGAGTGAGAAAAGATTCGCTGATAATATGAAATTCTATCATTACCATGAACATAAGGAAGGGGAACGCTTTTTTTTCAATTTCCAGGCGATGACAAAACATAAAATAGCAGTGAAGTAATGAAATTGGGTTGTTAGCGGAATGCTTAAATAAAACAGCAAAAAAGGTTATCTTCCATTTAATTCCACTTAATTAATTTTGGTATCCATGACAGATACGTATTTCGACTACAATGTGCAGTCTTCATCAGTGTCATTCCCACTAAAGAACTTATCAAAATCTTACCCCCTTAAGTATTTATCCCTAGGTAAAAAAGTCAAGATAAAATAGCAGGATTTTGATTTTGTCGAGACTGAAAAGCCACCCTAAACGAGAATAAAACATATGCAGAGGATGTAATAAATCCTACCTCCCAATGGATGTAAGAGGAATTTGCTTTGCGTGAATACAGTATGTTTACCCCCTGACGATAATAGGTTAAAGTATTTACGCTACACATATTGAAAGCCAGTGGGGCCATCAATAAACTACGTAGAAAGCTTTTCGTCATTTTGTAACCTCCGTATTCCACCGAACTTTCCTGCAGACATTCTATCTTCCCTTTTCTGCATAACTATTCACATATAATCATTTGAACATAAATATTACCAATTTTTTATGGTGTGCAAATGAATTAAAGACATTCCAGCAGCTTTTTCTCATTGCAAAAGGTTATTAAAATCAATGTGATAACATTCTGATAAAAAATAAAAGGAGGTTTCACACAACACCACATATGGACTCAAGGGTGCCTTAAAATCAGAATTATCAAACAATTTACTTGCTCCCTGCTAAAACAGTAGATTAGGTTGTTAAAAAAGAATAGCTGAATACTTGAATACTCTAAACAATTTTAAAGGGTGCGCGCTTCGGCTTTCAGAAAACTTTTTTTTTCAGGATTGTGCTGTATTGTACAAACAATTGAGGGCACTTATAAACAGTCTTGTAAGCGGTCACGGTAGTCGACACATTTTCTGTGATAATCGACTGCCTTTGCCTCCGACACTTGCAAAACAAGCTATCATAGTACAGTACCAAACTCAAATGTCATTTGACAGGCTCTGTCATACGACACTGTCGCCGAAGACCGTCACGAATGTATGTATTTTAGTTTCTCTCATTATGAGAGCTGCTGATGTTGTGCTTGTGTGAATTCTGAAAAAATCAAGCAAAGATGTCCTAGAAATAACATTTCTGATCAGAAATGGTTTAATTTACACCAAACTGAGGAATTAGAACAAAATCACTCATATCATTTGATAGTTATTTGATCATTTTCTTTTTGCTCGAATGTTATTCTACCGGTTGTGTTGTGTGAGAGAGACGACGGTAGAGCATGAGAGTACGAATAAAAACAGACTGTCGCGCATGACAACGAAGCGAGTGTCGTAAAAAACGTCAACAGTTTCAACCTCTGCTTATAAACGTCAAACGTTGAATAATAGCTTTCAGAGTTGAACAAGAATGTAGTTGTATTAATTAATTTAAATTAAATTAAAATCGAAGTCATCACAAACAGCATTAAAAGCTCTAAGACAGGATTTTAGCGGACTATTAAACCCATAACTAGTCCTGTGACTGGGAATGACAATAAGGGCAGAGTTTCGTAATTGGCGCTGAGGTGCGTTAAGCATAACTTCCTGTAGAAGATCTGGACAGTCGGTGTTGTTCATCAGGATGTCGAATACAACCAATTGTTGCAATCTCAGCCGTCTCACTGATAGCAACTCTAAGTTGATTAAACGGCACCTTTGTTGGTAATCAGGAAGATTCACGGGATCATTCCACGGTAGGTTCCGGAGTGCAAATCGTATGAACATTTTTTGTATACGTTCAATGCGGATCACCTGGGACGTGTGATATGGTGCCCAAACCGGGGCAGCGTATTCCAGAATGCTGCGCACTAAAGCACAAAAGAGTGATTTTAATGCGTACACATCGGTTAGTTGAGAAGCATTACGACGAATAAACCCAAGTACGGAGAAAGCTTTTGCTGTCATGGTGGAGACATGTTCGCTGAATCTAAGTTTATAGTCAATTATAACTCCCAAGTCGCGAATAAATTGCACACGTTCTAGCGGAGTAGTGTCAATTCGATATTGGTGAGTGAACGTTGACAAACAGCGACTAAATGTGAACGTTTTGCATTTATTGATGTTCACGCTCATACCATTCTCTTTGCACCAGATTGACACTACGTCGATGTCAGCCTGCAGTACAGTACAATCGAGTACAGACGCGATAATTCTGAAGATTTTGAGGTCATCAGCATAAAGGAGCTTTCCAGAGGATATTCGAAGGCACAGGTCGTTAATAAAGAGGACAAAGAGCAAAGGTCCTAACACGCTACCCTGTGGTACGCCAGATGGTATGTCGAACGTATTGGAACGAGACGAGTTCACTTGCACAAATGCCTTTCGACCCGTTAGATATGACCTTATCCAGTCCGCAATCCAATCCGGAAATCCCATGTATTTCAGTTTTTCTGTGGCATAGTCATGCGGGATGGTGTCGAACGCTTTCGAAAAGTCGATGTAAATAGAGTCCACCTGGTTGCGACGTTCTATCTCACGGAACAGTACGTTGGTATAGCACAGTAAGTTGGTTGTAGTTAAAAAGTTAGAGCAATTTCATAGTGTGGCAATTTCATCGTGGACACCCTTTACAACAATTTGTTCAAGCTGTCTACAATCGTCCAAAGAAACCGCAGTACAGTGCAAATTATTTTTAACAGCTACGAAAACTCCACCACCCCTCGAAGAATTACTAGTAGTTTCACTTCGATCACACCGAAATATAGAGTAGTCGGAAGTGAGTTCCGTATCGCTTATATCAGACCGGAGCCATGTTTCGGTAAAAACAATTATATCGTAGTCGCAGCTCGATAGCCTTAACTTCAATTCAATAACAGAAACGTGCTTGCCAAAGATAGCGGGTTGGAAGACCCCTTCTCTGACCCCACACACAGGGCCAGGACGACTGGTGGCCGATGACGGGAAAAGCTCGACTGTGGTAGGGGGATTAGGGGCTTCCATGTAGCCAGTATCGTTGCGTCCCAGAGTTGAAACATGCTGAGTTGAAGGTCTTGAATAATTACGGCTAAACGGTGTAGTACTGAAACCAAGCAACGAATCAGGAGTTGGGCTGAACAAGAATGAATCGTACTTCCCTGCGGTATTAGTTTGGAAGACCACGTTTCCAAACTCACACACAGGGCCGGGACGACTGATGGACGATGGCAGGAAAGGCACGACTGTGGTGAGAGGATCGGTGGCTTCCATAGGGCGAACACCGTTGCGTCCCAGAGTAGATGGAAGTTGCGTAGAGTTGCGAGTAGTTGATGTAGAGTGTATCGATAAACTTATTGTGGAAGTATTGGTGGTCGTAGGTTGATTGGAGTCGCGTCGTCTTTTGATTCAAATTCACGTACATTTACTCCATCAGGCCAGTAGAATGAATCCCCTACAGTGGTTTCCAAGTCGGGTGAAACGGATACTTTGAAGGAGACAAAGGTTAGCTCGTTGACTTGTTTGCCTCTAGGTACCAGCTTCACACAGCGCACCGTAGAATTTTCGATGTTGAAGGTTTCGCGGAGGTATTCCAGGACATCTTCTTCAGTCTGCTCGACGTGGAAAGGGGTAATATAGAATGGTTTCAACACTTCGGTTGTGTCGGTATTGCTTTGCTGCCTTCGACGTTCGTTTCTCATGACAACCCTTCGGTTATTTGTCAAGGTAGCTGTTGAGGTAACCGTGGTTCCAGTTCCAGGTGCGGTGATTGATGCGACAGTTGTGCA